CTATATATATGCGAAAACAAAGCCACAAAGACCCTCCATGTAGCCTTTAACAGACTGTTGGAGCAAAGTGCTGTTAGCGAGCACCTATGAAGGTCGGAACGGCACACGAGGGGGTGGGTGGCCGGCGGCACGCCCGACCGTCTTTGTCTCCCCAGTGGCGGTGTTCACTACACACCGCACCAGGTACTCACTTGAGGCCGAGTCAACCTAGGGGAGGCCAAGGACCGGTTCAGATAATCGTCACAGCTGTTAGCCACGAGTGCGAATCGAACTCGGGTCGCCGGGTTCTTACTAGCAACTGCGCCTCTGCTCCCCCTCAAAGACAAACACTCACACACTCACACTCACTCACTCACACACGCTCACACTCACACACACTCACACCCACACTGCACACACACACACACTCACACACACTCGCACACACACACTCACACACACGCTCCGGGCGCGCACACCCACACACACGGCCCTTTCTAATGAAGGTGGATCGACCCCATAAAGAACTGGGCATCGCGAGCGAGGAGGCACGGTGAGGGGTGGGGGGGGGCACGTGAGAGACTCGCCGAGGGGGACAGAGGCGGCCACATTCTCACACCGTGACGCGCGCGCTTCACCGGGGCATCCTTTTGCACAATCTGCACCGGAACCGACAATGACCTTGCCAGGACGGTGCGCGCCCGTGAGAGCGCACCGGTGCATGCGTGGTGCGAGTGTATTTGTGGGGAGTGGTGGCGCAGTGGCAAGCGCGCTGAGCTACGAGTCTGGCGAACCCGAGTTCGATTCCCGTTCACGGACACCAACACCGATGACGATAATTTGAGCCGGTCCTCAGCGTCCGCCTCAAATGAGTACCCGGTGTGTAAACATCGGCACTGGAGAGACAAAGGCGGCCGGGCACAGTATTGGCCACCCACCACCTCGTGTGCCGTGCTGGCTTTCATAGGTGCTCGCTAACAGCACTTGCCCCAAATGTATGCCGAGGCTATACGGGGGATATTTGTCTTGTGTACTTGGGACCGGTGGCACAATGGCTAGCGCACTACCCTACAAAGCCGGCAATCCGAGTTTGATTCCCACTGACGGCCAACAGCGGCGACGAATATTTGAACAGGTCCTGCGCCTCTCCCCAACTGTCAACACTCTGGTGCTATGTGTAAACATCACCACTGGGAAGACAAAGGCGGCACGGCGTGGTGCTGCCAACACCAACACCTCGGGTGCCATGCCGGACTTCTCAGGTGCTACTCGTCAACAACACTTATCCCAACTGTTTGCTGACGGCTACACGGGGGATCTTTTCCTTTGTACACGAGGCTGGAGGATAGCTCCAGGTCACGGTGGCTGTTACCATAGCGAGTGGTGATCTCGAGGCGAGGTTGACATCATGGCTACTGTATAATTCCCAGCCGGGTTTGTCAATACTTGCGCGTGCGCTTCCGTACAAATTAACTAAACAGGAGCCAAAGTCAAACGAGTCAGCCGGCTCTCGTCCCGAGCGCATTCCCGTGTCTCATCTCGGGCCCTGAGCCGGCAGGGGAAATTTCACGTTCCTATGGTGGGAGAGCTGGCCACAGTCTGTTCCATCAACACTCGCTTCACGACTTTCCACAACCACTGGGAAATTGACGACGGCGATGATGACTATGAAGTACGTGGCGATGATGACGCTCATGATCACTCAGGATCGAATGTGACCGATTGATTACGATCATCTGACTGCCATTAGCGTATCTTCCCGTCCTCCCTGTTCTGCACAGCTGTGGTGCGGTGTGTGTTTCCAATACAAACAACGTCATAGCATTTTAACCATCGCTTTTGGCACCATTGCGACAACTTGACGTACAGTACGGCACATCGAGTCCGGAAAAATAAACCCGGGGATAGAGGCGGGGGGGTGGAGAGGACGGGAGGGGGAGGGGGGGGGCACGGGTGGCGGTGGAGAGGCAGAGCAAGGCGGTATTCCTGCTATCTCCCTCCACCCCGCGCCTGTCTGGACACGTGCAGGGGGCGGCGTCCCCCGTGTGGACTCGTGAGATCGAAACGTACAACTGTGCGCCACAATTTCATCATCAGCATCAGCAGCAGCGATTATCAATCCACTGCTGGATGAACGTCTCCGTCTCCCCCACCCCACCGCCTCCACAAGCCGCTGTTGCCATCTCTCGCGAACCCGCAATGACGCGAAAATCCATCGATTTGAAGCCGCGCCACCTCCACGGTACTGGACATCGGTGAAAATCCTGGACACCCTTTAAAGAATATATATACTGTATAGCTTAATAAGCTCTTCGGATTCCTCCAGGATAAATAAGTTAATAAATCCTATTCCCATTCTGGACGTAATCTTGTGGCACGTTTCCCCCGAATTTGGCTGCCGCCTCTCTGGCGCGAGTGCCGCCCCCCCCGCCACCCCCCCCGCTTACCCCCCCCGCAGGGCCGCTGCCTTCCCGCGATGGCGGCACCCATGGCCCAAGGCCACTAAACTGGGATTCTCTCAACGGTTCACTTGGCGTCGTCTTCGCTCGCCGACGTTTGGACGTCCTCCGGTCAGCGTGTTCCACCGTTTGTCTGCCGGAGTAACTCCACGCACGCTTACGCCTCCTACTCCTAGGTTGTCTGCCGGCCCGAAGGTCACCCTTGTACAAAGACCTTCTTCTAAGCTCGAATGGGGTTTTACTCGGTGGAAGAAAAAAAAACTTCCGATTCTCACCACGCTACTTAGCGCACCGCTTCTCGTTCCATCTCTTTTCGTCGATGTCCACTTTACTTTATAGCAGGGGGAGGGAAAATAAATAAAATTGTATGGCACACTCATGCATACGTCGGCACTAAGATATGGCTAAATATACCCCCCCTCTTAGGATCTACCTTCCGATATCCAGAAGCCAATGGAGTCATGCACTTTTAAATCTAGATTTAAAACTCATTTCGCTTTGAGCTGCTTTTTGCGTTTAGATGTTGTCCCTTCCCCCGCAACCTCCGACTTTCATGGCTGGCTACGTAGGGTGCGAAAGAAGTTCAACGTACGTACGCACACATAACAACCCTCGCACGGGAAGGTATTGCGCCCACACTCCTTTGAGACAAAACTATAAACTGTTTTTATTTTACCAGGTAAGACCTAGCCACAAACGATAGCTCAACGAAGCGGCTTATCACGTGGAAATGTATTTTAGCTAAAATACTCTAAATGCATGTTGATTCTAAATGTGGAGGGAAAACCCGGAGAAAAATCCACGCAACCACTGGGAAAGACAAATATACAGGAGTCAAGGGTTGGGATCGAACCGACCACCTCCTGTATACCAGGCGAAGTAGTTAACATCTCACCACTCCCAAATTAGTTTTGGGTTAGGCCCCATTAATAATCCGATCGTGGCCCAACCCAAAAATCAATTATGAGCCGAAATTTACGTTTGCCGTTAAGGTCACATTGTTCGGCGATTTTATGATTTCAAAGCCACTTATAAGGCGAACCGGTATATTATATGAAATTAACCATCAAGACTTACAACCCTTTGCAATCCACTGCTGGATGAGGGCCTCCCCACGCCGTGCCGATCGCAGCGAGGTTGTGACCATACTTCACCACGCTGGTTAGTGCCCGTTGGCGAGGGGGTGGAGAGGTGGGAAGATGGGGAGAGGTCACCCAGGACCGGCTATTTCGGACATCGCTCGCCACTGATGTTAGCCATGGCCGGGAATCAAACTTAATTTTGCAGGTTCATGAGGCCGTATTGTTCACCACTGGGCTACAGCTTGATCCAATGCAAGTCTGTGCATTTAGTCTACATGGGTCATTTTGCAAATCGAGGGAGGGGTTATCTATTTAAACATATTAGTCTCCATAGGAAGCTGCGTTTTACTGTGCTAAACTAAAACACAGTTCTTCCTTTTAAAAGAAAGACAGCTTCCTGGTGTCAACGGGTCCTTACCTAGTTACAAAGGTCACATCCGTCTCTGCGTCCCTCTATCCATCACCAGCCACCCCCTCCCACCAGCCCCCCCCCCTCCCACCAGCCCCCCCCCTCCCACCAGCCCCCCCCTCCCACCAGCCTCCCCCTCCCACCAGCCCCCCCCCTCCCACCAGCCCCCCCCTCCCACCAGCCCCCCCCTCCCACCAGCCCCCCCCTCCCACCAGCCCCCCCCTCTCACCAGCCCCCCCCTCCCACCAGCCCCCCACCGTGATGTGTAATATAAACAACTGTCAATCTATTCCCACCGAGCCTCCCTTGAACACGACAACACTCCTGGCCTCAAAGGGACCTCGGAGACAATCATAAATAAACTTCAAAAAGGTCACCACCGCCTATCTTGGTGTCTGCGCGGGCACGCGCCCGTGCCTTGTCTGACAACGTTGCTCTTCACATCTCAACACAGCCCTGACCCGCAGTGAGCGAGCGCGGGGCCCTAGATGTTGTCGACCGTAGCGTCGTTTCCTACCGAATATATTCAGGTGAAGGGTGGGGAGGGGGGAAATCGCCGGTTAGCAAGCGAACAGTGGCAGCCACGGCCTCGGCGAGACGCACGGTACTGGACGTGGCGTGCCGGGGGAACGGAAAAAAATATTCCTGGCTCGCCCACCCAGGCTTAAAACCCAGGCGAAATTAAAACCCCTCGTGTTTCACAAACCCCGCCTTGCCAACCGCGTCAAATGCCAACCGCAAACCGCAAATCCAGCGTCCACTCTCCGGGCCGGGAAAAATGACCTAACTTGCTGGGCCACACGCCCCACAGGGCAACTCCGTGCACAACGAGTCCCGGCACATTCTGGCGATTCGCGGTGGTGGTTGGGGAGGAGCGGTGTGGTGGGGAGAATGATTGCACGGGTCTCGCTCGGCGATGGCCATTTTAGCGCACCAAGCGTAGGGGTGACGACCCAATCGCCCAGTACGGGTGGTGGTCCTGTGCAGTGTGTGGGGAGTGCCCTGCGGCAACAGGTGGTGCAGTGTGTGGGGAGCACCGTGACGAGTGGTGCGGTGTCTTGCGGTACTCACTCATGCCCTTGGACGCGTGGCTGGACCCTGCGAGTTCCCCCATCTTCATCAGCGCTTCAAAGTAACTCTTGGCAGAGTTCGTGACACCTGTGAGCGTCACCATCATCGGTGCCATCATTATCGTTGTTACAATCACCGTTCTTATAACCGCCACCGTAGGTTATCACTTGGTGGATACATGATCATACGTCACCACACTGGATCAATGCGGCTTGGTGATGGTGGGGTGCGGGGCATCGTTATGGAAATATAAAAGTACAATGCAACAACATATATTTGTTGCTCTGCCCACCACGTACAGTGAGGGAAAAAAGTATTTCATCCCCTGCTGATTTTGTACGTTTGCCCACTGACAAAGAAATGATCAGTCTATAATTTTAATGGTAGGTTTATTTGAACAGTGAGACACAGAATAGCAACAAAAAAATCCAGAAAAACGCATGTCAAAATGGTATAAATTGATTTTCATTTTAATGAGGGAAATAAGTATTTGACCCCTCTGCAAAACATGACTTAGTACTTGGTGGCAAAACCCTTGTTGGCAATCACTGAGGTCAGACGTTTCTTGTAGTTCGCCACCAGGTTTGCACACATCTCAGGAGGGATTTTGTCCCACTCCTCTTTGCAGATCTTCTCCCATTCATTAAGGTTTCGAGGCTGGTCAGATGTTTCTTGTAGTTGGCCACCAGGTTTGCACACATCTCAGGAGGGATTTTGTCCCACTCCTCTTTGCAGATCTTCTCCAAGTCATTAAGGTTTCGAGGCTGACATTTGGCAACTCGAACCTTCAGCTCCCTCCACAGATTTTCTATGGGTGGGATTAAGGTCTGGGGACTGGCTAGGCGACTCCAGGACCTTAATGTGCTTCTTCTTGAGCCACTCCTTTGTTGCCTTGGCCGTGTGTTTTGGGTCATTGTCATGCTGGAATACCCATCCACGACCCATTTTCAATGCCCTGGCTGAGGGAAGGAGGTTCTCACCCAAGATTTGACGGTACATGGCCCTGTCCATCGTCCCTTTGATGCGGTGAAGTTGTCCTGTCCCCTTAGCAGAAAAACATCCCCAAAGCATAATGTTTCCACCTCCATGTTTGACGATGGAGATGGTGTTCTTGGGGTCATAGGCAGCATTCCTCCTCATCCAAACACGGCGAGTTAAGTTGATGCCAAAGAGCTCCATTTTGGTCTCATCTGACCACAACACTTTCATCCAGTTGTCCTCTGAATCATTCAGATGTTCATTGGCAAACCTCAGACGGGCATGTATATGTGCTTTCTTGAGCAGGGGACCTTGCGGGTGCTGCAGGATTTCAGTCCTTCACGGCGTAGTGTTACCAATTGTTTTCTTGGTGACTATGGTCCCAGCTGCCTTGACATCATTGACAAGATCCTCCCGTGTAGTTCTGGGCTGATTCCTCACCGTTCTCATGATCATTGCAACTCCACGAGGTGAGATCTTGCATGGAGCCCCAGGCCGAGGGAGACTGACAGTTCTTTTGTGTTTCTTCCATTTGCGAATAATCGCAGCAACTGTTGTCACCTTCTCACCAAGCTGCTTGGCAATGGTCTTGTAGCCCATTTCAGCATTGTGTAGGTCTACAATCTTGTCCCTGATATCTTTGGATAGCTCTTTGGTCTTGGCCATGGTGGAGAGTTTGGAATCTGATTGATTGATTGCTTCTGTGGACAGGTGTCTTTTATACAGGTAACAAGCTGAGATTAGAAGCACTCCCTTTAAGTGTGCTCCTAATCTCAGCTCGTTACGTGTATAAAAGACACCTGGGAGCCAGAAATCTGATTGAGAGGGGGTCAAATACTTATTTCCCTCATTAAAATGAAAATCAAGTTATAACATTTTTGACATGCGTTTTTCTGGATTTTGTTGTTGTTATTCTGTCTCTCACTGTTCAAATAAACCTACCATTAAAATTATAGACTGATCATTTCTTTGTAAGTGGGCAAACGTACAAACTCAGCAGGGGACCAAATACTTTTTTCCCTCACTGCATACCTGAAATCCCTATGGCAACCAGTGTGTGTGTGTGTGCATGGTGGTCACCCTTATTAGTGGTAGTGTCGTGGTTAGCGCGCTGCTCTATGAATCCGGTGACCCGGGTTCGATTCCCGCTTACAGCCAACACCAGTGACGATTATCTGAACCGGTCCGGGGCCTCCCCTAGGTCGTCTCCGCCTCAAATGAGTACATGCTGTGGTGTGTAAACATCGCCACTGGGGAGACAAAGGCGGCCGGGCATGGTGTTGGCCAAACCACCCCTTTTGTGTACCGTGCCGGCCTTCATAGGTGCTCACTAACAGCACTTGCCCCAACAGTCTGTTAAGGCTACACAAGGGCTCTGTCTTTGTATACCCCCCCCTACAGTGGTGGTGCCATCTCCAGTGCTGACATTTAAACATTGGCCAATCACAATGGATCGGCGGTCCTAACCAATCATCCATTCGCGGGTCTTTGTCTTCGTTTGGTGGCCACCCATCCACGCCACAGTCCAGGCTTAACCTCGAGATCTCACGGGATCGGGGGGGGGGGGGGGGGGGTGCTCTCGCGGGATCGGGGGCGGGGGGGGGGGCCCTCGCGGGAACGGGGGGCGCGCGTTCCACATTATTTGGGCGCAGGCCGTCGCCGTCGTCCAACGTCCGGGCACACACCAAAGGCGGCCAAGTCAATATTTACTCTCATCCCACAGCACTACTTGCACAGCATGCAATGCTGTGCCTTGCCGTAGGCATGCGGACTATCCCCCCACAGGGCCCAGGGCTCGGCCAGGGAGGAACGCCTTTGACTTCTGACCCTTGACCGCCGTGGGATCTTTTGGCTATCGTAACTTGGTGGGGGCGGGGGTGCAAAGTGTGAACCGGTCCGTGACGCTAGTGCCGTTTGGACCGTCAAGAGCCGGGCGGGGTCGGCGATCAGTGGTCTGCTGCAGAATGACTCGCTAAAAAAAGAATCGCTCTCCGATTTACCCATTACGGTAATTCCCTCATTGTTCGCAAGATTGCCTCTCCGTGATTTTGGCTGTCCACGAATCGCATCATGACGAGAGATAGAGTGACGAGATCATTTTCGTATATTTAATTACGTATTTGTTGAAGGTTATTCGTAGGCCAATAACACGAGCCGCAAAATTTGCTATTCACGAGCATCTCCGGAACCTGAATCAACGTAAATTTCGATTTAAAGCTTTCGTGACTGCAAGGATTCATCTTCTTTGGTTCTTTCGGTAAAGTCACATAGAATGAGAATAAAATAATACATTTTTATTGTCCTCCAGACAGTCTCGTCCCTTCACCTGATGAAGGCCACTTGTGTTGTGGCCGAAACGTCGTGAGAATTTTATTGTGTTATTTTATTAATTTATTATTTCATTCTCATTCTACGTGACTTTACCGAAAGAACCAAAGAAGTTGAATCAACATAATCACATTATAGTAAAAGATTACTTTCATTGTGGCCTTCGAATGCATATCTCCATATACATAAAAGGCAAAGTTGTGAATGTGTGTCTGTTCAAAATGTTTAGCCTACTTCCCGACATGCAACAAACTGGAAATTGGCCATGTGGGTACTTTCCAGACTGTACACCATGCAAAAATTATAAAAATATACTTTTGTTTTTTTTTGCACGGCAAGTGAGCTGTGACGTCAAATCTGTCACGTGACCCTCGCATGTGGAAGCGAAACGCATTGTAGTGTAGTGGTTAGCGCCCAGCGTTACGAACCAGACGAATCGAGTTCGATTCCCGCTGCCACCACCGGTGATGATTATTTTAACCGCTCCTAGGCCTCCCCTAGGTCGACTCAGCCTCAAACGAGTAAGTAGTGTGGTGTGTGAACATCGCCACTGGGGAGACAAAGGCGGTCAGGCGTGGTGCTAGCCACCCACCCCCCTCGGATACCGTTCCGGCCTTCATAGGTCCTCGCTAACAGCACTTGCCCCTACAGTCTATACGGGGGATCTTTGGCTTTGTGTGGGGGGAGCGGTAGTGTAGTGGTTAGCGCTACGCTGCGCTATGAACCCGGCAACCCGAGTTCGATTCCCACTCACGGCCAACACCGGTGACGATTATTACAACTGGTCCTGGGCCTCCCCTAGGTCGACTCAGCCTCAAAACGAATAACTGCTGTGGTGTGTCAACATCGCCACTGGGGGGACAAAGGCGGCTGGGCGTAGTGAATCCAAGTCCTGGGCGAAGCCGGGTAGTCCAGCTAGTACAGTATATACAAGGCGGATTTAAACTTGGAAGTAAAAGAGAGGTGTGCTGCGATTTTATTTTATTTATTATGCTGTTTTGGTAAACTGGGAGTTGTAAAATTACATAATAGACAAAGGTCTGTTTTACGGTGCGAACATGCAGTAAAATTGCAAATCATTCCATAACCTTGCTTTTGGGTCTCGTCAGCACCCTTGTTGGCCTCTAACAATTGCCGCAGGGCTGCCCGACGCTACAGCGAAGAAGGACTCTCCCTTCAGCGCAGTATACGCTCATTAATTGGCCGCTGAAGGAAAACAAATCTAGATAGAGGACTGCAGAGCTTGGCCCATTTTTTGTGGCGTCGGTTCACCGCCTGGGCTGCTGCCTTCCAACTTTGTCAGTGGCTGCCTAAATGATTGCGAGACGCATTATGAACCTACGGTACTTACTATTACTAGAAGTTTTTATTCAAACACTGCTGCTGGATAACATGAGTCTATGCGGGCCCGGCCCCGTACTCACTGGACAGAGACTTTTCGTAGTTTTTCCCTGTTGTGATGAGGTTCCTCAGGCTTGGGTTGAACTGGTCCGAGATGGCCTGCGAGGTGGGGGGGGGTCATGGCAGCGCACAAAAGATGCAGACGGATATTACACGCATAGCCTCAGACCGCTGGGGCAAGTGCTGTTAGCGAGTACCTACGAAGGCCAGAACGGTACACGAGGGGATGGATGGCCAGCACCACGCCCGACCGCCTTTGTCTCCCTAGTGGCAATGCTTACACGCCACACCAGGTACTCATTTGAGGCCGAGTCGACCTAGGGGAGACCCAGGACCGTTTCAAATAAACGTCACTGGTGTTGGCCGTGAGCAGGAATCCAACTCGGGTGTACGGGTTCATGGTGCAGCGCGCGAACCGCTACACCACCACCCCCATGCACGCGCGCACACACACAGAGAGAGACAAACATCGACGACAACCTTTCATCATGATCATCATCCATGGTCAATCCCCTGCTGGATGAAGGCCTATAACAAACCGCATCCAACTTCAAGGTCTAGCGATGCAATAAATCCACCAAGCAACTTCGTGCAAACTAATTTCAACGCTCCATCTCCTCCGTGAGATGTCCTCCTGGTCACATGCCATTCCTTGGCTGCCACTCTGTTAGCATTCTTGACCATCGGTCATCAATCCCTTCGAGCCACGTGTCCGGCCCCAAGCTCGTCTATTTTGTAGTTTACCTGTATGAAGATTATGAGCAGCTAAACACACATGGGTTGGGGGGAATGGTGGCTCAGCGGTAATAGCGATGCACTGTGAACTCAGAAACCGGAATTCGATTCTCAGCCACGGCTGTTAGCCATGGCTGAGTGACGTCTGCAACCGGTCCAGGTGACCCACCCATGCCTTCACCAACCCACGCCGACCAGCAAGGGTAAGCGTTGTCAAAACAGCCCGCGAACAGCACGGCATGGGGGGGGGGGGGGAAGAGGCCTTCGACCAAGCGGCGGATTTACAAAACGGCTGCAAGTTACGTTCTAATTTAAAAACACCCATCGGGTGCCAGCGATCCTCTTTTTCGATGAAGATCTGAATCAAGGATTCTACAATGATCGGCCTTGAACACTGCGGGGGGGGGGGGGGGGGCGAGTGCCGTTAGGAGCTTTGGAAACCCTTTCCCCTTCAGAGACGTCTGCGAGTTGCAGGGGTGGGTCGCGTTCACCGCCGAATCTCCGAAAACGCGAGCGGTTCGGCGTTAGTTTTATTTGCGGAGTAGCGCTCCGGTTTTTAAAAGACGTCGTACTGTACTCACCACAGAGAAGTGTAGTGACACAACCGCACACTCTACGATAGCCGTTGGCAAGCTGTGCCACACGCCCTCCTCCGCATGGCCTTTAACTTCAGATTCTGTTCGGAAACTTATTCGATTCCGTTCGGAACCAAATCCATTCCGATCATGATATAGGAACGTAACCGGAACAAAAACTGATGGCATACACGTACGTCATCAGAACGGGAAGGAGTTAATAAGGCAGTGCACGAGACGATGGTGACGTCTCCCGCTGTTGATGTCCACACACCACATCGGGCACGGATTTATGGCCGAGTTGACCTACAGGAGGCCCGAGCCAGGTTCGGATACCATGTGCCACTGGGGATGGGGTGTGCATAGTCAGGGCCAGGCATGCAACCAGTCTGGGTGGGACTTGCATAGTTGCGTTACCCAATATACCGGCGCTCCCACGCACGCCCGCATGCGCACACACGCAGCTATGCATAGTTTTACACGCACATGGATACGTAGAGATGTGCATGTGTGTTTGTGTAATGCGGGAGCTGTGTGTAGGAGACAGCCATTGCCCCGCAGTGGCTCTGATGCTCTTAAACATCGCCGAGCGAAAACCAACAGATGGGAATTCACAAGAGCCGGCGGAATTCTGAAATGAGGCTCACACAAGCTGTCATCGCAGTGACACGTGCTCAGAGTCTACACACACACACGAATCTAGCTGTACACACCAAAGTACACACGTACGCAATGACACACCCATACATGCCAGCAATGCTCACCCGTACTCACAATAGCACCCCGACTTTTACAGAATCACAAACCCTGTGCACCCATACACCACTTACAAATCAAGATTGTGATTCTGACGCATGACTATGTACACATCCATCCACATAAAAGACAAAGATACCCCGTATATCCTGTAACAGACTGTTGGGGCAAGTGCTGTTAGTGAGCACCTATGAAGGCCGGCACGGCACACGAGGGGGTGGGTGGCCGGCAGCACGCCCGGCCATCTTTGTCTCCTTTAGTGGCGATGTTCACACACCGCCACCAGGTACTCATTTAAGGCTGAGTCGACCTAGGGGAGGCGCCAGGATCGGTCCAGACAATCTTCACTGGTGTTGGTGGCCCCGAGCTGGAATCGAACTCTTGAGGCGCCGGGTTCGCAGCGCAGGGCGCCGACCGCCACGCCACCGCTCCGCACAAACACTCGCACAACACGGAGAGGACTTGAGGGTGACAGTTCCTCTTTGTGCTCTGATGGGCCTGAAGTGCGGCTGTCATAAAACCCGCACTTAACCATGGCCACGGCTCTGAGAAGGGGATGAAAAACTTAACCCCCTGCGTTCGAGACATCCTCCTCCTCCTCGCCTTCGCCATCGTCATTGTCGTCAATCGGAGCAGTGGCGGTGCCAGGAATAAGCAAAAGCTTCAGGGATCTTAAGCAGCTCGACGAGCATATATTGCATTTTTATTTGGCAAAAGTAAAAATCCCATCGGGCAATAAATTGCGCACCTTCGATGGGGACCTGGTTACACGATTAGAAGCCTGGTTCATGACAGCGACGACAAAAAAAAAACCCCACCACCATCAAACAAAAAGAATTACGTGAAAAAATGTTTGATTTAAAGATTTCGTGACTGCAGTGATTCCTATAATTGTTACGTGCTCAAGTTCCGAACGGCAAGGACGTTACTGCACATATTTACCAGGGTACACAACCGGCACAAAGGGTACGACAGGGCCAGTGGAATGCGCCGCACACACAAAGCATCGGGGATGCGAAGCAGCAGGTTGGTAAGAATGTTTTTAAAAAAACACACACATTTACAAACTTAAAAGTCTGCAAGGCGGAGGGGATCAATTTCACGTACTGTACACGTGAAAGGAAATCTCAAGGGGCCTTGGATTCAAGATACAAAAATATACTGTACGTGTACCAAATACTGTACTACTCTATATCGGGAAAAATTCCACACATTCGTCAATAACAGTGTGTGCGTGGTTTTAAAAAGGAGCAAACAATAATAAGCGACGTTTCGGGCGATGGCCCTTCTTCATAGCATACACCGAATACGAATGAGGGGCATTTAACCTTCATGAAACATCACCTCGTATGTGATTTATGATTACAAGGCCACACGGTGTTGCTATTGATGCACGTATTTGTATTTTACTGGCTGTGCCAAAGCAGCTAGCAGCAGCATCATCATCATCACCAAGCGAATCAGTCCTCAATCGGCTCCAACTCAAATCATAAACAAACAATGGAAAAGACCACCCTAATAAACAATACTGTACCAGAAAATAATAATTTGGCACCACGGTAACAAGGTGTTAACTACCTCGCCTGGTGTACAGGAGGTCGTGGGTTCGATCCCGACACTGACGTCTGTTATATATTCGGAGTTTGCGTGGATTTTTCTCCAGGTCTATCGGTTTTTTCCCCCCTCCACATTTAGAATCAACGTGCGTTTAGACAATTTGGCTGCTATAAATGTCCACGTGATAAGCCACTTCGTTGAGTGGGCCTTACCTCGTCCAATAAAACAAATCGTAAAAACAGTCAAATTGTCATTAAGCAAGCAGTCCATAGCCTATGACACAGTTACTGCACACAAGCACAAAATAATACAGTTGCGTGGATTGACCCACAATATGTTTCAAAGTCAACTTTTGGCCCTCCTATGGCAACTCGCCAGCCCTGGCAATGGTACTGAAGTCTAAAAAAAGACTGGGTTCCATTGAACGATTGGATGGCTGTTTTGGGCTGGTTTCTGGTCTAGTATTGGAGACCATAGCTATGGTTGGGGGCCTACAGTATCATCGACAGAGCTTCTAAGTGTTAGGGTCAAGACGAATAAGGGGGAGTGGGAGCAGCCAAGGAATGGGGACGCGCCCACACAAGATGACGCCGTGATGAAAATCAGTTTGTGCGCAAGTGGGAAAGGCCTTAATCCAGCAGTGGATTGACCCTGGCTGATTATGCTGATAGAAAGGTAAGGCGAGTGTGATGGAGACTAGGGATTTGGTGACTGGCGTTGACGATTCAGCTGCGATGACGGGCAAGGGTTTGGGGCGAGTACTGGTGATGGTGGACGTGTGAACGTTCAGGCGAGAGTTTGTGCTCCCCCTTAGGTGACAAGATTCGGCTTACACAGTCGTAGAGCCAGGGTTAGTATGGGATAGAGATAGCGATAGTGTTAACGCTAGAGATAGGCTCATGGTTAGTAGAGATAGTTTTAGTACCAAGTAGCATCGTGGGAAACTATCATTACGGTGCGAATTATTAAAAGGTGTTAGAAAACTCGTGTTTTGCATCGGGCACAGAGTTATGGGTTTAAGATCGGAGTAATAAGATACAATTAAATTTTGATTTAAAGCTTTCGTAACTGCAGTGACTCATATTCTTGGTTCTTTCGGTAAAGTCACCACGTAGAAGGGAAACAATAAAATAATAAAAATATAAAACAATAAAATTCTCACGACGTTTCATCAGGTGTGAAAACGTAAAAAAACCGTCACTTTTTTCAAATTTTCTTGTGGTTTTCACACTTGATGATGATTGCTTGTGTTGCAGTCGAAACGTCGTGCGAATTTTATTGTTTTATATTTTTATTATTTCATTGTTTCCCTTCTACGTGACTTTACCGAAAGAACCGAGAATAAGATACAATGACTGCACTGTATGAAAAACAATAACAGATTTTACCCTTTCTGGCAATAAAACCAGTGTTAAGATTTTGATGTAAAGCTTTCGTGACTGCAGAGATTCATATTCTTGGTTATTTCGGTAAAGT